GCATCTGGGGGATCCTTATACAAGCAAGATCATAATCACAGCTTTGCCTGCCTGCTCTCCACTACAAAAGGCACATTTGACCTGTGAATCTGAGGACCATAAACAAGGGACTAGAGGTTGGGGCAAGGGTTGCTGGTATCTAGAATAGCTCCAGAGCTCATGCTGTGCCTTCCAAGGGAACCAAACAGTGAGAAAATCCAGCAGCTATGGCTTCCACCACCTGATAAGCTCTGGCTCTATTCTGTCTTGTGAGTGCAGCTCTCCTGCAGCTGCCACTTTGTCCCCAACTGCTTGCCTCCACCTCTGTGGGTACAAATCCAGCATGGACAAAGCCTGAAATATCTTCCTCCTGGGAAACATGGTGCATCCACTGCAACACAGACTCAGACCTAGGAAGCAATCATGCCAGCCACTGGAACAGTTTCCTGAATGTTGTGGTATATGGATGTCTACTTCTCCTCTGTGTGCATGCTAAGACTCCATAAGGGAGTGGGGTGGGGTACTGACTGGCATCAGAGAGTCAGACTGTGAGGTTGGTGGCAAGGGACAATGGAGGAATACACTAATAGAGACAGCAGATGGCAGTGAGGGAAAGTGCCTGACTTAGGGTTTTCATTGCTGTGAAGAGACTCTATGACCACACCAACGCTAATAAAAAAAATTTCCTGGCCCTAGAGCACACATTTCCTAGACCAGTGCTTGTCACCCTTCCTGGTGCTGCAACCAGTTAAAACAGTTCTTCATCTTGTGGTGACCTCCAACCATAAAATTATTTTGTTCTATTTCATAATTGTAATTTTGTACTGTTGTGTATAGTAATATAAATATTTGTGTTTACTGGGGATCTTAGGCTATGCCAGTGAAAGGGTTGTTTCAACCCCAAAAGGATCCTGACCCAGACTCAAAGAATATACAAAAGCAAAGGGTGTTTGTTTATGCCAGCATGTGCAGCAGGGTCAACCACTTGTGCAAAATGGCAATCCAGAACAAAGGCACACAGTGTGGTCCTTTTAAGCATAGTTCGGGGTATTTCAGGAGCAGTTATGTCATTTCAAACATAATTGGTTAAGCAAACAGCAGTTACACTGGTATACTCTTCATTGGCTGAGGTTTAGTCATCAGTTCTGGTCCTACTTGCACAAGCTTGGGCAAGTCTGGACATGACTGGGAAGGGGCTGAAGGATCAGACCTTGAGAGGTTGTGGGCTGACTAAGGCCTCATATGTGCTCTCTCCCTAATCCCTGAATGCAAGGTTGTTGTGGATGGATGGATGGATGTTGTGGATGCAATGGCCCTTTGTGGTGAGAGGCACCTGTTTTGTCCCATAACTGAAACCTAAATTCAGTTATGAGAGTAGGAGAGTTTAACCACTTTGTTGCCACATTTTCTTTATCTATTCTTCAGTTGAGGGACATCAAGACAGACTCCAGTTTCTGACTATTGGGAATAAAGCCACTATGAACATAGCTGAGCAGGTGGCCTTGTAGTAGGATGGGGGGATTTGGGTCTATGCCCAAGAGTGGTATAGCTGGGTCCCTAGGTGATCAATTCCCAGTTTTCTGAGGAATCATCTTATGAAAGTACAATTTGTTTTGCCTGCAGTATGGCTAGCAGGAGAAGGTGACATGTATCACATGGGAGTGGCCAACCTGAAGCCCAGGCCAGGAGAGGGGGCCCATGCCTGACATTGCCTGGATGGCCAGGAGTGAGATTGGAAACCCCAGAAGCCTAGGATAGAAGTGAACACACTGGGAAAAAGTTAATGAAACAATTCCTAATGATATTCTGTTATATTCATAGATCAGTACCTAGCCCAATCAGCATCAGAGAGGCTTCATCTATAAGCTAATGGGAGTAATTACAGATGCTCAGAGTCAAACATCAGACAAAGTTAAGGAATTCCTGCAGAAGAGGGGAAGGAAGGATTGTAGGAGCCAGAGGGATCAAGGAAACCACAAGAATATGATCCACAAAATCAGCTAAGCAGGCCTCATGGGAGCACACAGAGTCTGAAGTGACAATCACAGAGTTTGCATGGGCTGTGCTAGGACCTCTGCATATGAATTACGGTTTTGTAGCTTGGTTTTCTTGTAGGACTCCTATCAGTGGAAGTGGGGAGAGTTTCTGACTCTAGCCTATCCTTAGGATACTTCCCTCCTGCTGGGTTGCCTCACCCAGCCTTGATATCAGGGTTTGTGCCTAATCTTATTGTAACTTGTAATGCTGTATGTGGTTGATGCCCTGGGAGGCCTGCTCTTTTCTGAAGGAAAAATGGAGGAGGAGTGCATCTGGGGCACAGGGGGACTGGGTGCTACTGGGACAGTTGCAGGGAGGGGAAACTGAGGTCAGGATGCATAACAGAATAAAAAAGAGAGGTTCTGTCCCCACTTCTTTAGACCATAATCCTCCCACACCCCCACCATATAACTAACCTGTGTCAGACCAGGCTGCTAGTATTTGCAAGTTTTGTCAACTAGCTTGAAGCCTAATCACAAAACATCACCAAAATCAATCTTTAACATCAAGATGCAGAGACAGGTGAGGATGAGCTACAGCTGGGTTCAGGAGCAAGGCAGAAAGCCCTTCCTTTGAGTGCAGAAAGACTGATGCCTGGGATACCCAGGAGGGCTAGAAGGCATTATTGAGCCCCTGCTGCATACACCTCCACGAGGTTTCTGTGGCATTTTTGCCAGTACACTAAACACTGGGAAAGAGGTTTTTAGACTTTGAGTAAATGTCATGTTGTTGAAAAGCTTTATTATTGAATGGTTTGTATGCGCAGCTTGATTAATTCACTTAGAATATGAGCTATTCAATCACCCTGACTTCAAGTATGAGTATGTTTCTTTCACTGGTAAGAGTTCCCTTGTGTTATTTATGTTAATCCTTTTCTGATCTGATTGTGGCAGACACTTGACACTACTTTCTGATGAAATGGTTTGTAAAGAGCATATGATTTTAAATGTGACAGGCTTGGCTATTCTATCGTGGAAAAGGAATCACTGGGACTCGTTCCATTACTAATATAATGCCTCTGAGATTCAAGTGGTGCTATCCTTTGACTGGCTGTGTCATTCTGTATATGAACATGTTTTATCTACTCCCTGGATAAGGGTTTTTGAAGGATTTCCATTGTTTTGTTGTTCTTGATTTTGCTACTGTTAATGAAGCTGTCACTAAGTTTTGGGAACATGGGGTTGTTTGTATTTTGTGACCAGTACTTTCATTTCCTGTGCTAAAGCCCTGAAAGCAGAATTACTCAATCAAGCATGTGTTTAACTTGGAAGAAACTGCAAACATGTCTTTCAAAATGACTGTTCCCTTTTGTATCTCCTCCAGTCCTGTACAGAGCTTGCAATTGTTCCATGTCTTTGCCAATGATGAATATATTAAATATGCATAGAATGGTGTCTCTTGAAGGTGTTCCCATGAACTTGGAATCTCTGCTTCTAGATCTCTGTTGCAATGTCTGTTTGTCTGAGACTACCTCCCTGCCTCCCTCTACAGAAAAGAAACTACTTGGCCACCCTCTCTTGGAGGCCTGCTTTTTTCTGAAGAAGAAACGGGGCAGGGCAGGGTGTGTGGATCTGATGGATCTGAGGAAGAGGTGAAGTGGAGGGAAGCTGGGAGGAGTAGAGGAGGGAGAAGCAGTGGTCAGAATGTACTGTATGAGAGAAGACTCTATTTTACATAAAAGAAAAAAAGGAACTTGAGCATCTTCTCTAGCCCACATTTTTACCATGTATTTGGCCTCTGAAGGATGACACACAGATCAGAATATATGGGGACTTAACTCCACGTGAGGTGTAAAAGTCTAGAATTAAAAAGAAGCAACAGAATATGCAAGAAACAGAGAAACTGTTCCTTGACCCAGAGATTGGAGAAGTATGGACCTCTCAGCCCCTACAGCCTAGGAGCTCCTTGGGTCAGAATACTAAAAGTAGAATACTCACCAGGAAGGCCTGGGACCACAGATTGGACAAGTGTGCATTGGAAGCATGACACTCTATCTAGGAGGAGACAGGAGAAGCCACAGATGAGAAGGAAATCCCCAGTGCTGGGGTGTGGGCCCTAAACTATCCAGGGCTGGAACCATAGAGCCAAGGCCAATCTCAGCCAGCACAGAAGGCTACCCAGTGTTGATTCCCACACCACTTCCCCAGGAAGTCGGATGTGGCGAGGCTAGGTGTGAACTCCGGGTTGTATATTCTCTAATGTAGCTTACTAAGATTTTTATGATTCTGGGACTCCTGTTTTTGGACTTGTGTGCTTTAGCGCCCCATCAAATGCCAGGTGGGGGCTGACTCCTGGCTTAGCCAGAAAGGAAGTTTGCTGCCAAACCTGACAGCTTAACATTTGTCCCTGGAACCCATATGGTGGTAAGAGAGAAATGACTACCACAAATTTTCTTCTGACCTTCACACATACATGATGGAACTTGAGTGCAGATATATGTACATGCACACCTGCATAATACTTGAGTAAATGTGGGGAGAAGTTAAAATGTTTGTCATACTGATAAATGACTGTGAAGTGGATCTCAGCAGGAGCTGGCCATGTGAGCAGCCTCATTATGGGGGGGGGGGCGGGGGAGAAGAGCCAGAATTTGTGTCTCTCAAAGAAACTACCTTGACCTAACAAGGAGGTACCTGCAGGTCATAAGAGACAAAGGGACCCAGAGGGCAGAGTCACTACTTTAGGAGTTCTGACAGCACAAAGGAGTGTACCTCCTCACAGAAGCCCCATGTCTCTCCTGTGACATCTTGAGTGTGCACTTACTCACAGAAGCCCAGTGGCATCTCCTGTTACAGCTTTCTATCCAGGAGTGAGGACAGGGTTTCCAGTATGGCAAAAGAGAATCCAGACTGTGCCTTTTCAGAGGGCCAAAGAGTGAACAGAAATAGCAGAGGAGACTTTGCCCTGCCTCCTATTACTTCTAACTAATCAGTTCTCCACCAGTGAGGACTCTGCCCCACCACACCAAGTTCCCGCCTACATCCTTTTGATATAAATTCCTGCCTGAGCAAGCCTTGCAGTTTCTGCTTCCTGTTTGTGGCCATCCTATATAGCAGCACAGACTCAGGCCTGAGAGCTGATCATGCCACTGAACCAACTTCATAGCTGGCTGAATGCTGTAGTCTTTGGGCTCCTGTTTCTCCTTCTCCATGTGCAGGGTGAGGCTCACTAACCTGGTAGTGGGGAATGATTAGAGTCAGAGCTGCAAAATTGTGCAGTCAGAGGCTGAGCTTGTGGGAGGGAAGGCATAGGGATGGGGGCTGGTGGAAACGATAGAATCTAGCAGACAGATAAAAGTGTGGGAAATGTGTGTCTCCCATTCTCCTGGCCAAAGACCACAGATTTTTGCCCACTAGCACACAGATGGTCAGAGAGTTGAAGATCACTCCATACTGAGAAGACAGGTCAGTGTAAGGAGCTCTGGGCCAGAAAATTCAAGGAAAAGTGAGCTGAAGGCATTTCCCCCCACTTCAGTGTATGGCTATGACTGCAGCTACTACTGAACTTTGGATAAGAATGACAGTAATCAACAAAATCTTTCAAGTCATTTGGAGTAGGGACTAGGCCCTCCATCCTGCTTCTAAGTTAGGGGAGTATCCCTCCATGGGGAATGTGCTCCCAAAGTCCTTTCCTGCACCAGGGATACATAGTGGTTCCACTGTCAGAGGTCCCTTAGATTGCCCAGGACTTCTAACTGAGACCCATGTTCATAGGATCTGAGTCGGTCCAATGCTGGTTTGCCAGCTATCAGTCTGGGGGTCCATTAGCCCCTTGTTCGGGTCTGATGTCTCTGTGGGTTTCTGTAGCTTGGTCTTGTCCGCATTATCTTATCACTCCTCCTTCTCTGCATCTGGATTCCAGGTCAGCTCAGGGTTTAGCTGTGAGTGTCTGCTTCTGTTTCCATCAGCTACTAGATGTGGGCTCTATGATGGAAGATAAGTTAGTCATGAATCTCATTATCAGGGAAGGGAATTTATGGTAGCCTTTCCACTGTTGCTCAGATTGTTAGTTGGGGTCATCCTTGTAAGTCTCTGGACATTTCTCGAGTCAGTTTTCTCTTCAGACCTATAATGGCTCCCTCTTTTATGCTCTCTCTCTCTCTCTCTCGCTCTTGCTCTTGTCTATTCCTCCCCTGACTCATTCTTCCTAGTCCCACATGCTCTCCTTTCCTCCCCTTCTTTTCCTCCTAACTCCCTCTCCACTCACTGCCCCCCCACTCCCAATATGCTCAGGAGATCTTGTTCCTTAACCCTTCTGTGAGGGACCTTGTATGAACCTCTTAGATCCCTCCTTGTTTCCTAGTTTCTCTGGCGGTGTGAATTATAGGCTAGTGATCCTTTGCTCTATGTCTAAAATCCATATATGAGTGAGTACATACCATGTTCCTCTTTTTGTGACTGGGTTACCTCACTCAGAATAGTTTTTTCAAGTTTCATCCATTTGCCTGCGAATTTCAAGATTCCATTATTATTTTTTTTTCCAGCTGAGTAGTATTCCATTGTGTAAATGTACCATATCTTCTTTATCCATTCTTCAGTTGAGGGGCATCTAGGTTGCTTCCAGGTTCTTGCTATTACAAATAATGCTGCTATGAATATAGTTGAACAGATGTCCTTGTTGCATGAATCATTTGAGTATGGAAGGCATCACCCTCCTTGTGGAGTGTGTGTACGGGGAATTGGATGAGAGGGTGGTCAGAGGGTATGGGTTGGGAGGGAGGGGGGAAAAAGGGAGGGAGAAGGAACTAGGATTGATATGTAAAATATGAAAAAAGGACTGGTAATAATCATAAATTCAGTGGTCAAATGATTGTGAGTGTATGATGTCTTTGGCCAGAGAAATGCTCTGACAACCTTCAAAGGGGCAATAGGAAATATCCCTGAGGGATAAGGAATATCCCACACTCACAAACACACACATACACACACACACACACACACACACACACACACACACACACAATTCACATTCTCTGTGCCCTGGTAACAGAGAGGTGGGAACTCCCACAATCTGCTGGCAGCTGACTGCACAAAACTAACCCTGATGGCATCTCTCCACATAGGTCAGGACTCATCAGAGACCAGCCCCATCAGGAACACACACACAGGCCAGGTCCGAGGCAGCCTCATCCAAGTGAGTGACACCAACATTGGTGTCCACAGATTCCTGGGAATTCCCTTTGCCAAGCCACCTGTAGGATCACTGCGCTTTGCACCTCCTGAAGCCCCTGTACCATGGAGTGGTGTGAGGGATGGAAGCTCACATCCAGCCATGTAAGTTCTGCACCCAGAGGATGTCAGGTCCTAGGGTGAACAGTTGCTCTGAGCTCTGAGCTATGGTGAGGGGTTTCCTCCATCTCAAGCCCATAGCAGCCTTCTCTCATAGTGGGACAGTGTGCCATTTGTTTTCATGATGCATATGCTAAAGTTGAGTAGAACAACTGTGCTAGCTCCTGGGTCAGAGCCTGGCCCCAATAGGGAGTTAGATGTGACCTATTAAGCAAAGATTGTCCCTGAGTCCAGTAGTATAGACTTTAGGTCCTGAGGAGTACAGCACTAATTGATACTTGCCAACCACATTCTCACAGTCACTGTGACAACCTAAAGGGCTAAGGGCCATTGACCAAGGAATAAAGAAATGCAATTAATTCCACCTAGAGGCGCTGTAAGAAAAAGAAGTTTCCGGAGATCCTGTACATGGAATGAAGAATTTCTCACTGCCCTTTAGGCCAGTATTGTCCACTGATTCTTCTAGAACCTGTGGAGTACAACCCTCCAATATTGCCATCTTGTTTCTTTTCTGAGACTGTAATAAAGTACCAACAAAAGCAATTTAGGGGAGAAAGCTATTATTAAGGGCTCCAGATTACAAACCATGATGTAAGGGATACAGTGCAAGAAAATTATAAGGGCTGGACAGATCACACATACAACTATGAACAGAGAGCACACAAAGCTTGCATGTCTGCTAACACTAAGATCACTTTTCCATTCTTATGCAATTCAGTGAATGTCACCACATACAGCCAATCATTTCCATAGAGACACCTAGAAGTCTCCATGTCCTGAACTCAGAAAGGCTAACATCCAGGCCCCACCCAAATGGAGGACTCCCTAGAAATCTGGCTTTCATGGAGCCCGTGACCTTTACCCTGGCAGGAAGGACTTCAGAAAGTGAATATATGTGTTAATGGGGCATCATGAAGAGCAGCAGCTGAAGGTGGCTAAGAAAAGACCCAGACTCACATTTGATTTTGACCACCATACATCTCTTGGAATATCTGTCTGCTATTTCCATCAGGTGTCTGCAAAACCTTGAAATGATGAATGTAGAAGGCGTGAATGATATGAAACTGACAGTGCCTCCTCTCCCTATGTCTGAGGACTGCCTTCATCTCAACATCTATGCACCAGCTCATGCCCACGAGGGCTCTAACCTGCCTGTGAGTGTCAGGACATGGTCAGCTTGGGGACAGGGCATGTTTTTCCAGATGGTTAGAAGAGACAAAAGCAACCTGAGCTCCATTGCAGTGTAGACTCTGATGAAAAGCCTTGCCCAATTTGTGTCAAAGAAGGTCTTCTCAGCTACACTATGCAGCTGAAACCTGGGTATGGGACACATAGCACTGGAGTACTGAGTAAGCAAAGGCTCTAGCACTTTGAAAAAGCATGACTTATTCTACAATCTGGGCCCTGCAGAACCACTTAGGTGCTCAAGGGTCAACACTGAGATCCTCATTTCCACTTTTGGTTGATCTGTTGTGCCAATGAGAGTTAATGTTCTTTTTTAATCTGCAGAGACATCTATGGGGACACTCCTCTTTGTTCTACTATGAAGTCTCAACAATGATGACATTAATGTATGCATAGAGTCATGAATTCAAACTGAAATACTTGTTGGGTATGGAGACTAGAAACATCCTGATGGGGCTGCTAGAGGTCCCTAGCTATGACCAAGACCCTGAAAGGCTAAGGATTTGTATATAGTTGTGTAGCTACTTAAAGGTACAGCAGTTGATATTCTAGTAAGCAGTCATGCAGACTTTGGGATGGCTAAGAGATTTCTGGCATCTCTCTTGATTTCTCCAGGTGATGGTGTGGATCCATGGTGGTGGACTGGTGGTAGGAATGGCTTCTTTCTATGATGGATCCATGCTGGCAGCCATTGAAGATGTGGTGGTGGTCACTATCCAGTATCGTTTGGGTGTCCTGGGCTTCTTCAGGTAAGAATAGGTCTGAGCTGACCAATGGCAGCTGAGAAGACCCTAGACAGCCCTTTGATCCATGTCCCTTCAACTTCTCAGCACTGGAGACCAGCATGCCAGAGGCAACTGGGGCTACCTGGACCAAGTGGCTGCCCTACGCTGGGTCCAGCAGAATATCGCCCACTTTGGAGGCAACCCTGACCAGGTCACCATTTTTGGCGAGTCAGCAGGTGGCACAAGTGTGTCTTCACTTGTTGTGTCCCCCATGTCCAAAGGACTCTTCCACAGAGCTATTATGCAGAGTGGAGTAGCCCTGTTGCCTGGCCTTATCACAGACACCCATGAGATGATCTATTCTGTAAGTGCCCTCAACCACCATAGCTCTAATCTGCCCCCCTTAGCCTTCATGGTCTGGTCTTCTTCTCAATGGGGAAAATAAGGACAATGGGAAATAGTTTCTTTTCAGTAATATTTTAGAAACTCAGAAGTCAGCCTCTACTCACCTCTACTTCATACTGAGTGAGTATGTTATCTAACCTGCAAACTGTTCCTAGAACTTCCATCATTGGCATAAATAAATATGCATGCTCAGTTAAGTGGGTTTTTTAAAGTACCTGGAGTGCAAGCCTGTGGACCTAAGTTCAAATCCCTAGAACCCACAATAAGCTAGAAATAGTAACACATATCTGTAATTCCAATGTTCCTGTGATCAGATGGGAGGTAGAGACAAGAGAATTCCTGGATGTTCACAGAACAGTTCAGCTAGTGTAGGAGGAGAAAAACAATAATATATCCTGCCTCAAATAAGAGGTGTGGGGTCCTTAAAGAAATGAAACCTTGTCCTCTGACATCCACATACAAATGTTGGCACACTTATTCTTCTCTCATACACAAAACACAGAAAGAGTGGTGGAGAAAATAAAACTACTCTAAACAGGCAGATAGAGTACTGCTTTATAGCTGTCACCTTTGAGCAACAGAACAAAGGGAATGATTTCATACTTATTCCAATGGACACACAACACCCAGTAAGTGTGGCAACCAGGTACAATCACATGTGGTTGGAATTGAGAATATGCTTTCCCTGCTTGTTCCCTTTACAGATGATTGCCAACCTGTCTGGATGTGAGGGTGTGGACTCAGAGGCCCTGGTGCACTGTCTGAGAGGCAAGAGTGAAGCGGAGATTCTGCTCATAAATAAGGTTCATATGATTGTGTGTTTGGAAGAACCTGGTCACTGTTAGTGTTTTTTCACTTCTGTGTGCAATATGAACACCAAGGTAGACTGCTCTAAGTTTAGGTTCTCTTCTAGAGTGAGCAGAGATCTCTGAAACTAGTGAGAAATGAGAAGATGGTGGCGGTAACTGAGTGGACATCAGTATGTATATTCCATTGACCTTCAGCATTGACTTTTATTGCCCCTTAGATCTTCAACATCATCCCTGCTGTGGTGGATGGAGTGTTTCTACCCAGGCATCCCCAAGAATTGTTGGCGTCTGCAGATTTTCACCCTGTCCCCAGCATCATAGGTTTTAACAGTGATGAATATGGTTGGATCATCCCCTTGGTGAGGCTCAGTTCCAATCCTCTGGGAGCCTGGAAATTCATATGCCAAGCAGTGAGAACTCAAGGTCCATCAGATCCCACACTTATCAGTGTCTTCTGTCTCCCAGGTCATGGGCTCTGCCAGTACAATAAAGGAAATAACCAGAGAGAACCTGCAGCCTGTTCTGAAGAATGCAACAGCACAAATGGTGAGATACCTCTGGTCCTGTCCAAATAGAGAGCCCCCCCTAATATTTCCTTCTCAGAAAAATTCTTATTAACAAAGGTCAGTACATGTCTTAGTTAGGTTGTCTACTGCTTTGAAGAGATACCATGACCACACAAACTCTTTACAAGGAAAATATTTTTTTTTTTGGTTGAGAGCCTTATAATTTCTGAAGTTATTCCATTAACTTCATAGTATGACATAACAGTGTGCAGGCAGACTTGGTGCTAGAAAAGGAGCTGAGATTCCTACATGTTGACTCCCAGGCAACAGAAAGTGGTCTGAACAACTGGGTTTGGCTGAAGCATAAATGAGATCTCAAAGCCCATCTCCACAGTGACACATTTCCTCCAGCAAGTCCATTTCTACCTCAACAAAGCCACAATTCATAATAGTGGCACTCCTTCTGGGAACCATTTTGTTTTAAACCACCACATTCCATTCCCTGGTCCCCAGAGGCTTATAGTCATAACATAATGCAAAAGGCATCCAGTCCAACTTCAAAAGTCCCCATAGTCTATAACGATTTCAAACTTATTTAAAAGTCTAAGTTCAAAATGTCTTCTGTGGTTCATGCAATCTTAATAGTAATCATATATAAAATTGAAACAAAAAAGAAGATCACATACTTTCAACATATAATGGCACAGGTTATATACATTGTCATTCCAAAATATAAGAAAAAGAGTATAGTTTGGACATACTGGACAAAAACAATATTGAAAACCAGCTGGGCAAATTCCAAACTCTGCATCTCCATATATGATATCAACACACTTCAGATCTCTAACTCCTTTCAGCTTTGTTGATTACAACATACTTCTTATGCTGGTTCTACTCCCTGTTTCCAGCTTTCCTTGGGAAGTATTCCACAACCTGGGCATCTTTAACATCTCAGGATCTCCAAGGAAGTTCAGGCTTCAACTCTGAAGCTTCACACAATGGCCTCTCTAAGTTCCCATTCAGAAACACCCCTGGCACATGCCTGGCCTCAGATGCTTTCCTTAGTTTCAGAAGCAGTCCATAGCCCCTTTCTTTTATCATTCAGGCTAGAACCATGTGCCCAAAGCTGCCAAGTTCTACTGCTTATTGGGGCTTTGTTAAAGTGCATCTTCACCAACTTTCTGTTTTCCATGGTTTCCTTTACTGCATAAGATTGGCTGTTCTAAAACTGGATCTGTAGACCCAGATGACCTTAAACTGAGATATTCACCAGCCTCTGCCTCTGGAGTTTTGGAATTAAAGGCATGCACCACAACACACCTGGTTCTTAGTTTTTCCTTAATTCCTTTCCACAAGTTGGAAACTTGGCTGGGTGGGATCATTCCCTGAGGTCACCACTCCATTCATTCCATTTCTTAATCTATTTATCTCCTTGAATTTTACATTTTGTATTTTACCTTGCTCAGTTTGCTCCTTTTCATTATACATCTTCATTAGAGTTGCCACATGATAGAATTTATACTAGTCTGCTTTGAGATTTCCTCTGCCAAAGGAATTATTCCAAATCCCTTCTCTTTAGCCTCAGATAGCCTCTTTAGACAAGGACAAAAGGCAGCCACATTCTTCAACCAAATATCACAAGAACAATCTCTAAACAACATACCAAGATTCCTTTCCTCTGAAACCACTTTACCAGACACCCACAGTTCGAATCAACCTCAGCACCACTGTCTTCCATGCTTCTTCTAGGATGGCCCATTAAGCCGTGCTTAAAGCATTCCACTGCCTTTCTAATCCACAGTCTCCCAGTTCATATAACATCAAACAAAATAGTCAAGCCTATCACAGAAATACCCCACAGCTGGTACCAACTTCTGTTTTAGTTAGGGTTTCTATTGCTATAAAGAGACACCATGACCACACAAACTCTTAAAAATGAAAATACTTTGTGGGGGTTTTACAGTTTCTGCAGTTTAAGTCCAGTATCTTCAAGGTGTAACATGGTAGGATGCAGGCATACATGGTGCTAGAGAAGGAGCTGAGATTCTTACATCTTGACATCCAGGCAACAGGAAGTGGTCTGAACCACTGGCTGTGGCTGGAGCATATATGAGACCTCAAAGCCCACCTCCACAGTGACACACTTCCTTGAATAAGGCCATACCTACACCAACAAAGCCATTCCTCCTAATAGTCCCACTCCCTTTGGGGACTAATTAGTTTCAAATTGTGTGTGTGTGTGTGATTCTGTGTGGGGTTACCTCTGAGTATGGGACCCTATTATTTATACCATATCTCATCTCAGGGTTCATTCTCCCCATACTAAATGCTGCTGCCCTCCTAACTTTTCATGCCTAACCTCCTTCCTGCTTTCCTTGGTGTAGATGCTGCCTCCTGAGTGTAGTGACCTGCTAATGGAAGAGTACATGGGGGACACAGAGGACCCACAGACCCTCCAAATGCAGTTCACAGAAATGATGGGAGACTTCATGTTTGTCATCCCTGCACTCCAAGTAGCACATTTTCAGCGTGAGTACATCTGTAACAAGGCTTAGGGGAGAAGCTCAGAGATGTAGGTGATGGGTGAGCACTGTGGAGCAGTGTGGTTTCCAGATCTCATGTCTCATCATAGAGAGTGACATCTAGGTATAAAGGAGGAAATGGCTCACTGATACTCCATTCACTCTCAAATCAACTAAACTGGGAAGGCCATGAGCACCCTATAGCCAAGGGCTTTTCCACAGTTAGTGCTCCAGCCTGGAGCTCCTCCCATGTAACTTTAATGATTTTAGGTAACTTCATAGCAAGGTACCGTCTAACCAAGTATGTATCAGAAGAATTCCAGGTAAGGCGCTACTAAGCCACTGTTTGTTCTCACCTCTAGGTTCTCATGCCCCTGTCTACTTCTATGAGTTCCAACATCAACCCTCCTTTGTAAAAGATACCAGGCCACCCCATGTGAAGGCTGACCACGGTGATGAGATTCTTTTTGTCTTTGGGCCCTTCTCCTTTGGCATGAAACGTGAGTGTTCTTTATTTCCCCTGAAATGAATGAGGTCACAGATGACTCCCTGAGGGCTCTTGAGCTCTCAGTCCATGTTAGGAAACCTAGGCTCTGGGAGGAAATAAAATCAAATGTGTACCATATCATAGCCTAAAAAAATTACTAAGATTAGACTCTGGACTCATCTCAGTCTAGCCTGTGATGGAGATGACAGCACATTGGGGCAGGAATTCAATTAGAAGCATGCATGGATCACAGATACTGTGTAGTGAAGAAAGGAGTTAACAAAGCCAATAGCTTGGGGTTGGACAACAGCTGGGAGTATGAGTGTGAGGCCTAAGTTGGTAGTTGGGTGAGGTGACATGGACTTCAACATTTGTCTTCCTCATGATTTCAGTTGACTTCACTGAGGAGGAGGAGCTACTGAACAGGAGGATGATGAAGTACTGGGCTAACTTCGCAAGACATGGGTGAGAACATACCTGTCTCTCAACCTTCTGAGTTTGGGTCCCTATCTAGGACTTCCATTTATGTGATGATCTCTTTAACATGCATGGATCTTCCATCACATGTTAGTGTTTTCTCTACCCAATAGCACATTTATACAGATTCTTTGTAGGTATCAGATACTGTTCATCTCACAGTGACCTGGCTGGTGGGCCATAGTGATATGGTACTATTCATTAGATATTGTCTCTTAGAGAGTGACATAAAATAATTCAAGTTATCTTCCCTCATATGGAGCATCCCTAAAGTATCTCTACCTGTTATGTTTTAGATTAAATGTCAACTACAATTTCATCTAAGATAATAAGTCCATCCTTCGATATTGATTTCTTTTTTCTATACTTTGTACCATCCAAGCCCATAGTGGGTGACACTTCTATCACTTTAATGGGAAACATGCCACATCAGACCCCTTAAATTCTGGCTTGATTCCACTGCTCTGACCCAATCAGGGGTCCAGGATTTGGATCATAGTGACCATACCCTTCCCTTTTGGGTTTCCTATCCACAGGAACCCCAACAGTGAGGGTCTACCCTACTGGCCCATGTTGGACCATGATGAGCAGTACTTGCAGTTGGACATCCATCCTGCTGTGGGCCAAGCTCTGAAGGCCAGAAGGCTACAGTTCTGGACCAAGACTCTACCTCAGAAGATCCAGGAGCTAAAGAGGTCCCAGAATATGCACCAAGAGCTGTAGTGCCCTGTGTGAAGAATGGCATGTGGGGTTGCCTGCTGGTGGAGTCAGTTTGAGATTCCCAAAATATATTGAGGAACCTGGATTGATTCTAGCATTTACATAACCTCTGCATTTGTCTGTTCTTCTAAGTTTATCACAAATCCTCTGTATGGGACTCTTTATTCTGCTTGGGTCATCTTTAGTCAGACCCACTCAATAAATGCTCAAATAACATTGTGCATTTGTGAGCCCCAAAGTAACCATCATTTTTCACACTTCACTGGTACTAGGCCCCTTTCTTCCTCCCTTAATATCTCATCCTCACTGTCATCTTCCCTCAAATCAAAACCCTCTTTAAGTAAAGCAAAAGCTTTGGAAAATGTTTATTTGTATTCTTATGAGAATCCATATCGTACATGTTCTCTGTTATCAAGTTCATACTTTTGGAGACCATGAAGTCCAGGGTTAAGATATCAATGGTATTTCATTATTGTGATAACGAGCTTTGTGACACAAAGATGATAGATACTTGTGTTTTCACTGATAGATACAATAATTAGTAGTTCTCATGACCCAGATCTTCAATAGATCTCACTTTCACTAATGTTACATTGGAGTCTAAGTTTCAATATAGGAATAGATACAAAACACAACATATAGAGGGTTCCATGTCAGTCACTAGATTTGAAAACATCCCAAAGTATCTCTGCTTGTTGTGTTTGTAGATTAAATATCAAATACAATTTCATTTAAGATAATCTGTCCGTTTGTCAATATTGTTTTCTTTTTTTTTCTACACTTTGCACCACCCAAGGCCATTCATCTATTCTGTTCCAAAGTGGTTACTGGCATGATTTTATATGTGAGGTAGGTTTAAGTGTCTATAATCTCCTCCAGTCTGGGACAGTGTTTGTTTGAGTGTGTGTGTGTGTGTGTGTGTGTGTGTGTGTGTGTGTGTGTGTGTGTACTTAATATCATCCAGCCTAAGTTTCCCTAGGGATTGGATTACAGACATTGACTATGTCCATCTTACTTTCTTAAGAATTTATTTTTATATTTTATTTATGCATATGTGTGTTGAGCACAATTTGGCATCTTTGTATAATGACATAAAGTAAAAGAGAGTGTATTTATTAGGAAGGCCAAAAATATCTAGTAACAGCAAAGAGGTAATAAAGAAACTCATGTATATGGACAATCGGTTATCACAGGGGCTGGGGGTTTCAGGGAAACTGTAGAAGGTAGGAGGAGTCCCCTATAAATGGTCAGTGCTCAGGAAGACAGGGGGCATCAATCTCTAATATATTGGAGAATCAGCTTCAACATATGACATAATTAGATGTCACCTATGACTGACATTTAAGATTATCCACCCATTCAGCTTTTTATTTCACAAATGATGAGGAATATTATTTATTTATTATTTATTTTACATGTTGATCCCAGTTCCCTCTCCCTGCCTCCCTCCTTCCCTCTTACCCTCTCTCTTCCCTTACATGCGCCCTGACCACCCTCCCCTCCCATTACCCCCCACTCCACATGTAGAGCTATGCCATCCAGGTGGGGTCATATAAATCTGGCAAGTCATTTGAAGTAGGGACCAGGACTTCTCTCTTGTCTCTAGGTTAAAGGAGTATCCTTCCATGGGGGATGTGTCTGCAAGGGAGGAAGATATTTTTAAGGAGATCTAGACCTTTAGTCTAGACCCTCAGTCAGTCTAACCTGATGTGTGTGTGTGTGTGTGTGTGTGTGTGTGTGTGTGTGTGTGTGTGTTTGAGACCATTGAAGTTTCTCCCCACCCACCAGGGCCTGGAGATACTATGAGGTTCTTGTCACATACTCAGGACATCTGTGAATATGTTTGATGGTGAGGTGTGTCCTGGAGGTGGGATGGAAGCATCAGAAGGTCCAGAAATATCCAGGACAGAGCATCCTATCCCTGTTTCCCTGAGTACCTGTCATTTTAATGAAGGCTATTTCTAGCTTTCACAAATCCCCCTGAATTCTTTAATTCCTTGTGACACAAACACAATGTTCTTGTTGTCCCTAAACTTTTTTGGGACCACTGTTAAAAACATTTACGTACACTTTATACCATCATACAAAGGTAACAAATGGTGCTCAATTGTCTCTGCATTCCCCTAAAGCATTTCTGTATTTCACTAAAGAACTCTGTCTCTGTCCCACAACTGGAATCTATTGTTTGATGTTTGCTCATAAATGCCAAGGTAGAGAGAGAAGCTCACCAAGATGCTAAATTGAGGTTACAACCTTCTCTGGAAAGACTGCCACTCAGCTAGGTCACCCCAGTTACTTTATTCAAACAATTACAAGGTTATTGGGGCTGGTAAAGGTTCCAACTATCAGATTCTTCTTGCTCTTGCTGCTCATGAGAGCAGACAACTCACACAAATCTTAGGTCCTTTTGAGTATAGCAACATATAGTCAAAAGGAAGAACTCCAGGTCTCCCAGGATTGTCTTAGGTCCAAGGTGTGTGCAGCTGCATGCTCTCACTTAGCACCCAGGGCAGACTACAGAGAAACAACATTTCTTCAAGGTTTAAACAGTCTCAAAACTATTTCTCAGCCTCTACTAGTTAATCCAAACATAGAAAAGGGCTTTGCTGAAACATTTCTCTCAAAGCCAGACACAAAGGCATTATTATACATTTCACTTAAAGCCAAACATAAATGCTTTACTTATATATCACTACCTGGTTACAGAAGATGGACAATTCAGGGTTCATATACTCCAGTACTAGGAGTCTTCACTAGGCTCATAGAACATAACTCCCTAGTGCCCCCAAATTCCAGGCATCTATCCCAGAACTCTCTCTATCCATTTCTCCCTGTCCTGTCAGCCCCTCCTGTTCCCAAAACCTCCTACCCTCAATCCACCTGCAAAATCTATTCTACTTCCCCTTTCTAGGGAGATCCATGAACCCCCCCCCCCTTGAGCCCTTCTTGTGACTTAGTTTCTCTGGTCCTGTGCATTATAACATGTTTATCCTTTACTTAACAGATAATGTCCACTTATCAGTGAGTACATGCCATGTTTGTTTTTCTCCTTATAGGGTTTATCACTCAGGAAAATTTTTTTTCTAGTTCTATCCATTTGTCTGCCAACTTTACTATTCCATTTATTCTAACAGCTGAGTAATACTCTATTGTGTAAATGTATCATATTTTCTTAGTCCATTCTTCAGTTGAGGGACATCTAGGTTGTTTCCAGTTTCTGGCTATTGTGAATAAAGCTGCTATGAAGTTAGTTTAGCGAGTGTCCTTGTGGAAGGGGGAGCATATTTTGGGTATATGCCCAAATGTGGTATAGCTGGGTTTTGAGGTAGATTGACTCAAAATTTTCTGAGGAATCACCATATGGACTCAGATATTGTCCTGCCTACTACACGTGCAGAGGTGATGGTGGTACAGAACATGTGGAAGTAACCAAGCAATATCCAGTCCAACCTGAGGCCCTTGCCATAAGAGGAAACCCACACCTGACACTATCTGGATGGTCAGAAACTGGAGGCTGGATAGCTCAGAGACCTAGGATAGCAAACACACCAGCCAAAAAAAGTTAATGAAATGATTCCTAATTATGTTCTGTTATACTCATAGATCAGTTCCTGGCCCTATCATTATCAGAAAGGCTCTGTCTACAAGCTGATGGAAGAAATTACAGATGCTCACAACCAAACATATAAGCTGAGTTAAGGAATCCCTGCAGAAAACGGGGAGAAAAAATTTAGGGGCCAGAGACATCTAGGACACAAAATGTGGCATGCAGAGTCAACTAAGCAGGGTTCATGAGGGCTCACAGAGTCTGAAATGACAATCACAGAGTTTGCATGGGTCTGAGCTAGGACCTCTGCATATGAATTATGGTTTTGTAGCTTGGTTTTCTTGTGAGACTCCTATCAGTGGAAGTGGGGAGACTCTAACTCTGGCCTATTCTTAGGATACTTCCCTCCTGCTGGGTTGCCTCACCCAGCCTTGATATGTGGGTTTGTGGCTAGTCTTATTGTAACTTGTTATGCTGTATGTGGTTCATACCCTGGGAGGCCTGCTCTTTTCTGAAGGGAAATTGAGGAGGAGTGTGTCTGGGGCACAGCGGGACCAGGTGCTACTGGGATGTTATGAGCAGGTTTTCCTGCCAGCCTAGTGCCAGAGCCACGCCAGCCCCAAATAACACATAGAAACACTGTGTTAGATATAAAGCTGTTGGCCTGTTACTAGCATTTCTTATTGGCTAGCTCTGTCTTAAGTATTTCTATCAATCTAAGTATTTCCACATGGTCTTATCTTATCAGAGAGAGGGTCTGGAGTTCTTCTCTCTTGGTCCTACATTTTGAATCTTCTTCCTCCTCCTGAATTCTCCTTGTATCCTCATCTGATCTATCTTGCTTTCCTATTGGCCAACAGTGCTTTATTCATTAACCAATAAGGGAAACATACTTACAGAATGACATCTCCCATCACTGGGACAGTTGCAGGGAGGGGAAACTGAGGTAAGGATGTGTAACAGAATAAAAAATGGAAGTTCTGTCACCACTTGTTTAGACCATAATCCTCCCATACCCCCTCCATACTTCCATATAACTAACCTGTGTCAGCCCAGGCTGCTGGTATTTGCAAGTTTCATCAACTAGCTTGAAAGCCAATCATAAAACATCAGAAAATGATGATTCATACAACCAATCTTTAACACCAAGATACAGACAGAGTTGAGGATGAACTTCATCTGGGTTCAGGAACTGGGCAGAGAGAAAATCCCTTCCTTGCATTGCAGGAGGGCTGAGGCCTGCATTTCCAGGAGGGCTTGAGGTGTCATTGAACTCCTGTTGTACACACCTCCGTGAGGTGTCCACTGCATTTCTGCCAGTGCACTGAACACTGAGAAAGAGATTTTGAGACTTTGAATAAAGGTATTATTGGTGGAAAACTTTATTGTTGAATGGTTTGTGTGCACAGCTTGGTTAATTCACATAGAATATGAGCTATTCAACCACCCTGGCTTCAAGTATGATTGTTTCTTTCACAAGTTCCCTTGTGTTACTTATGTTAATCCTTCTCTGATCTCTGATTGTGGCAGCCACTTGACTACTTTCCAATGGAATAGTTTGGAAAGGGCATATGATTTTAAATGTGAAGGACCTGGCTATTCTATCATGGAAAAGGGATCACTGGGCATCTTTACATTATTAATATAATGTCTCAGAGATTCAAGTGGTGCTCTGCTTGGACTGACAGTGTCATTCTATATATGAACACATTTTACCCACTCCCCAAGCAATGAGCTTTTGAGTGATTTCCATTGTTTTGTTGCTGTTTTGATGCTATTAATGAAGCTCTTATCAACCTTGTGGAACTTGGTTTTGTAGTTTATTTTGTTTTTTGTCTGTCTGTCTATCTGTCTGTCTGTCTGGTTGGTTGGTTGGTTGTTTTTTCCAGACAAGGTTTCTCTGTGTAGCCTTGACTGTCCTGAACTCCCTTTGTAGGCAAGACTGACCTCAACCTCACAGAGATATACCTGCCTCTGTCTCCTCAGTGCTGAGAATATGAGGTTTTTGTTTTTTGTTTGTTTGATTTTTGGCTTGGTTTTTTGTTTTTGTTTTCACTTTTTTTGTGATCAGAGCTTTAATTTCCTTGTGCTAAAGCCAGAGTGTAGAATAGCTCAATCACAGAGTGTGTGTTTACTTATGAGGAAAATGCCAACCTGTGTTTCAAAATGACTACAGCCTTTTG